GTAGGAGGAGGAGGAGGACGAACGCGCAAACGAACACGAATCAGAGTATTCAAAAGAGTAGTAACATGTAATCGCAACCGTCGTAATACAAACAAAACCATTGTTACTATCACTAGTAATAGCGATGACACCGCTAATACTGGTACAAATACTATGAAGCACTAAGGAGAAGACTAATCCTACGAACAAGAAGAGTACTACCGATACTAAGAGCTGTGCGAATTCTAATACGCATACTCATACTAATAATAACCGTAAGCGCATTCTAATCAGACTAATACTCGTATGAAGAATACGAGCGCGACCTGCACACAATATACTAACAGTAATGGCATTAATCTTATGTTTAGTAATCCTAGAAATAATAATGCGCGAATGCTAGTGGTAATACTTTAATCACCCAAGAATAGCACACGTGATAGCAACACTGTTAGTAAGCATATGGGATGCATACTATTAACAAGACACATAATCAGAGGAGGGAGATCAGGAGGAGTGGGATGAGGATGATCAGGAGGAGGAAGAGGAGGAGGAGGAGGAGGAGGAGGAGCAACAGCACGAAGAGGAGACGGAGTATGAGGATAGGGATGAGGCTGAGGCTGCGGATGATGATGACGATACTGCTGCTGCTGATGATGATGATGATGATCATGATGGTGATGATCATGCTGATGGCGATGCTGATGATGATGATGATGATGATTATGCTGATGATGATGATGATGATGATGATGACGATGATGATGATGATGATGATGATGATGATGATGATGATGATGACTGGTGGTGACTGATTGATTACGTAATTGATTTATTCATTGATCCAGGATGATGATGGCGATGCTGATGCAGATGATTATCATGCTCATGATGATGATGCTGATGATGATGATGATGATGATGATGGTGGTGATGATGATGATGATGGTGGTGATGGTGATGCTTATCATTATGGCTACTATTTATACTGCTAGTATTAGTCTCAGCATTACCATCATCATTTTTATCATTGCCTTTGTTGTCATTAGTCTTATCAACAGTCTTATCATCGCTAGTTATAAATGCTTTTACTATTACTATTGCGAGTACTGTAGTATTCATTTTACTATTATTAGGATTCTTTGTAATTCCATTATTATTATTTATTATTATTATTATTATTGTTATTATTATTATTACTACTAGTATTATGTTTATTATTATTATTATTATTATTATTATTATTATTATTATTAACATGTTATTACTATACTTACCATCACCAGTATTCGTTGCATTATTTTGATTGACCTTATCATTACTATTATGTTGCTGATGCTGATGCCGATGATGCTGATGTTGATGCTGATGCTAATGCTGATGCTGATGATGATGCGCGGAGGAGGAGGAGGAGGGAATGGAGGAGCGGCAAGAAGAGGAAATGGAGGTAAGGTCGGAGGCGGAGGCGGAGAAGGAGAAGGAGAAGGAGGAGGAGGAGAAGGAGGAGGAGGAAGAGGAGGAGGAGAAATGGGAGGAGGAGGAGGAGGAGGAGGAGGAAAATGGCAGGAGGATGAGGAGGAGGAGAAGGAGGAGGAGGCGAAGGAGGAGGAGGAGGATAAGGAGGAGGAGGAGCAGGAGAGGAGGAGGAGGAAAAGGAGGAGGAGGAGGAGGATGAGGAGGAGGAGGAAGAGAACGAGGAGGAGGAGGAGAAGAGGAGGAGGTGGAGGAGGAGGAGGAGGAGGAGCAGGAAGAGGAGACGGAGGAGGAGGAGAAGAGGAGGAGGAGGAGGATGAGGAGGAGCAGGAAGAGGAGACGGAGGTGGAGGAAGAGGAGGTGGAGGAGGAGGGGGCGAAGAAAGAGAAAGGTGCAGGAGGAAAAGGAGGAGGAGGAGGAGGAGGTGCAGGAGGAGGAGGAGGAGGAGGCGGAGGAGGCGGAGGAGGAGGACGAGCAGTTGCAGGGGGCCTTGCGGCCCGCGGCGGCGAGGACGGTGGCGACTGTGACGGCGGCGTTGACGGTAATGGTGGCAGCGACTGGCGGCGGCAGCGCGTGTGTCGTGGGCAGCCCAGCGGCGCGTGAGTCCCAGCGTGCCGCGGAGCTCGGCGGCGCCTTCGCCGCCGAGCGGCGGCACTGGCCTGTGGCACCTCGGCGCCGGCGGCTGCCGGGCGGCGCCAGAGGCAGCGCCCCGCCGTCGCCGCCGCCTTCGCCTTCGCCCCAGCCTCCACCGCCTCGTCCCGCGCCGCCCTAGTCTTCGCCGCCTTCGCCGCCTTCGCCCTCGCCCTCGCCCTTGCCGTCGCCGTCGCCGCCTTTGCCGCCTTTGCTGCCGCCGCCTTTGCCTTTGCCGCCGCCGCCGCCGCCGTTGTGGTCGTGGTCGTGGTCATGATCGTCGTCGTCGTCGTCGTATTCGTCGTCGTCGTGATCGTCGTGGTGTTGGTCGCCATTGTTATCGTCGTCGTCGTCGTCGTCGTCGCCGTCATCCCCGCTGCCGCTGCTAGCAACGGCGCCACCGCCAAAGCCTCTCCCAGGGCCCGCGCCTCCTGCCGCGCCTCCCCTAATGGTCATGATGACGATGATGATGACGATGATGATGACGATGATGACGATCGTGATGGTGATGGTGATGATGATGATGATGATGATGATGATGATGATGATGATGATGATGATGATGATGATGATGATGAAAAGAAAGAGGATGACGAGGAGGGGAGCAGGAGGATAAGGATGAGCATGGCTATGATTTTGATGCTGATGATGGCGGTCGTAATTTGGATTCATGTTTGTGGCGATCCTCGTCCAGGCCGACATCCAGGAGCCACGCGTGTGCGCAAGGTTTCCTCCCTACTTGGGCGCCCAGGCCAAACCCCCAGGCCGACCTGGACCCCCACGTCTGTGGCGAAGAAGAAGTTTATGCCCTCCTATTGAGGGGAATTGCCAGACCTGGGTCCACCAGGAGAGACGGTCCCGTTGTCATCCGTCCGCGGGTCCCTGCATGGAATGGGAAGTGGAAAACGCCCCTGCGTACAGGGGAATGTGCTGCTGCGATGGTTGTGTTCGCTGTCTGGCCCTGGCGGTCGCGCCCCTTGGCGGGCTTCGAACGCTGCGTCCACCCCAGGCACTGGAGCTCCGCGATCGAGGACTCCAAGCAGTGGCCCTGGGACCCCCCAGGATTAGCTGGCAGTGGTATTTGCGATGACCGTACAAGCACTGTCGGGGGAATATCGTACAAGAGTGGAGTGAGGGGGGGGGGGATGAGGGGGATAGTAAGCTGAGGGAGGGATGGAGGAAAAGGGGAGATGGCTGTTCCACGGCGCACGTACGGCTTGGTCGGCACAACCCCTATGCCGTAAAGCCCACGCCACTTCCGAGGAAGGCCTGCTGCTGAAACGAATCAGCCGACCTTTCGTTGCACTGATCTGCCGCGCCTGTGGGGGTGAAGACGACGAGGATGACGGCGAGGACAAGGACAGAAGAGGGGAGAGTGAGGACAGGTCGTCCCGAAAGGGCGCTCTTGCACCCGCTGCCTTAGGGACGCCACTGGTCGGGGCGGAACTGCGGGCAGTTCACTTCATGCTTCAGCTGGTGTAGGAACGCCAGTGGCTCCTCCTCTCCCCACCGCCCGCCCTCATGCCTGACCCTCCTTCCCGTAGCTGGAGCCCCATCTTGGCCTCCCCTTCCGCGGCTGGCCGCCCAAAACAGGTCGCAGCGCGGAAGACCGCCTCATCGACCAGGAGCGCCTGTCGAGACAGCCGCAGACCGCGCCTCGAGCTCGAGCACGCCGGGCAACTCCGCAGGGCCTTTTGGGACCCGTCGTGGGGCCGAGGTGGCCCACGCCGCTTCCTGTCAGCAAGAAGAGGTGGAGGAAGGGGTCCCCTCGTCTCGGCTGGATTCGGCTCGAAAAATTCGTTCGTCTCGACCGCGGGAGGGGCTGGGGGACCGATCTCGAGTTTAGTTGCGTTCATCTCCTCTGTTGACCGACTCTCTTTTGCGTGTGTCTGGCTCAGACCCCCTGGCCGCCTCCACCGGGCTTCTGCGTCAAATTCAGGAGCGTGCGGAGACTTCGGAGGCCCCACGGGCGTGCGGGAACTTCGGAGGCCTCAAAATGGCTTGTCACCTTCGGAGGCTCTCAAGATCGTGCGGGAAGTTTGGTCGGCTTCCGCATCAAACAGGGCCGCCTGCGGTGCGATTCGATGCGATTCGTGGCTGCGATTCTGATCTGCTTCATCCAGCTCGATCCACCGGCATCGGCCGTGGCCACCCGGCGCCAGGCGCGGCGGCCCGCTTTCGATTCGCTTCGGGACGATCTGCTGGCGATCCGATCTTTCAGCAGCAAATCGTGGGAGGTTTGTATACCCTCTTAACTCCATCTTCGGAGCGCACTCGCGTCGACTAGCGTCTGGTAGTCGGCGAGATAGTCCCGATTTGGCGTCGACTGACGTCGATTGGCGTCGCTTAGCGTCGATCTAGCGTCGACTGGCGTCGATCAGCGTCGATTCGCAAGAATCAACAAGATAGTATGGGAGACCCCCGTGAATTACCGACGACGATTTCGTGATCCGGTCCCGGCCCAAACTGCGTGCGGAGGCCTCGGAGGCCCCGAAGAGGTCTCAGAGGTGCCCGGAAAGCCAGGGCCGCGTCGTGGGCTCGCGCGGCCCGCGTTCCGCGCCGCGGCGCGGAGAGCGGATGCGGCCGCCGCCGCGCGCGGCGGCGGGGCCTCGCGCGCAGCAGAGGTAAGCCGAAGAGCGTCGTCGTCGTCGTCGTCGTCGTCGTCGTCGTCGTAGTGATCGGAGTTGTGTTCGTCGTCGTCGCCGTCGTCGGCTGGCATCGTCGCCGTCGTCGGGTGGCGTCGTGATCGTCGCGATCGTGTCGGTCGTGCCGTGGTCATGGCCTTGGCCGTCGTCGTCGTCGCCGTCGCCTGGCGCCGTCGTGAACGTCGGCGTCGCCGTCGTCATCGTCGTCGACGTCGTCGTCGCGGTCATCGTTGTGGTCGTCGGCGGGCCGCTCGCGGCAGCGCGCGCCGAGAGGTCGACCTGCGCGCGCCGTCGCCGGGGCCGGGGGCACTGAGCCCCGAGGCGCTCCCACCGACTTGCTTCATTCGGGGCATTGCCGCGCTGCCGCCGCCGTCGTTGCCTCTGCCGTGGCGTCTGCTGTCGCCTGCGCCTTCGCCTGTCGCCTGCGCCTTCGCCTTCGCCTCGGCGGCCGCCTGCACCCTTGCCTTGGGCCTTGCCTTCGCCTGCGCCTGCGCCTGCGCCTTCGCCCTCGCCTTCGCCTTCGCCCCCGCCGCCGCCCTCCTTCCGACTCCTGCGTCGTGCAACAAATATCACCTCGAGCGGTTGGTGGCACTTCTCGGCCTCTGCGTGGTGCTGGCCGAGCCTTGGAACCGTCGCGAAGAAATCACGCTGTCGGGGGTCTGGGTCCTCACCCTTCCTCTTCCTTGTTCGCCTCGTCCTTGTCGCTCTCTTGCAGCCGCTGCTGCTGATGCTCGTCGCCGTTGTCGTTGTCGTTGTATTCGTCCTCTTGCGTCAGTGCGTTGTGAGAAGATCACGGCGGGCGCGTCCTGGTCCCGTCTCAGACCTCGGGGCCCAGGCGGGTCTTCACGACGCCGTGCGTTTTGTCACGTCATCGGATGACTGGGTCATCCCGTCGCATCCAGTTTCTTTTTGAAGTGACGCAGGACTCGGGGCAATCTCTGTGTGCAGACCGCTCATCTTCCTTTCTACCCATCTTTCCTGCTATCCTCTCGGCTCAGGTACTGGACATCTTGCGCGCCCTCGATCCGACGGGCGCGAGTATAACATACCCCCATCGCTTCTCTTCATCGTCCTCTACCTACGGACCATGCGGTATGTTCGACTCATCGGTCGTTAACCTCCGTTCGCACAATCGACACGCTTTTGGGGCCAGCTTGTTCTTCCAGGCTTTGAGCGGTCCCAGGGCAAAGAAGCCGAGACGCCCCCCGAGAAGCCGCAGACGGGGGCGAACTTTTCTCGAGTGGGGTCTGTCCGGGGCACGCACGTGGCCATCCCGCCCAGGGCCCTTGGAAAGGAGGGGCGAGGATGGGGAGGATGCGGATGAGGGGTCCGAGAAGGATGAGGAAGACGAGGCCAGGGACTGAGAGGAGGAGGACGAGGACGGAGAGGAGGAGGAGGAGGAGGATGAGGAGGAGGGGGAGGAGGAAGAGGAGGGGGAGGAGGAGGAAGAGGAGGAGGAGGAGAAGGAGGAGGAGGAGGAGGAGGGGAGGAGGAGGAAAAGGAGGATGGGGAAGGGGGACGAGCAGGATGCGCATCCATGTTTTGCTTGGTCTGCAATGTAACGCAATGCTCTGCTATGCTGGCATAGCGCCAGTGCTCGTCGAAACCATGCTGTGCATAGCTAAGGATGTTTTTTTCCACGGAGCGAAACATATTCCTCATGCTTGTCGCGCTGGGTTCATTTCTTGGATCCTCAAGGGCATGCACAAGCAAGCAGGGGCACTGGCAAATGCTCCGCGAATGCAGTGTGTGGGTGCAGAAAGAGCTTGAAGCTGGACCCTACTGGCTGAAGTCGTCAGAGTATCACTCCTAGTCTTTCAGAACTCTCTTCGGACATGATCAGAGGTGTGCGCATGGCCAGAACGGCGGGACAGCCCGGAGGCCGAGGGAGTCAACCAGGTCTTTGGGATCGGTGTGCGGGTGACCCCAAGTTGGCCTGTGCACGCTAGTCTGTGTTGCCCCCCACTGAAATGTGGCTCTGCGCCTTGAGACTTCCACCATATATCAGAGGCCAGCAACATATGTACACGTACGCGGTTAGCTTCCCCTGGAGTGCGTGTCAACGCGGACGTTCGTGCAGGCAAGACCGTGGAGGGCGTACATGTACATATGTCGTTGCTCGCCCACATATATTTCAAGATGTCAACTGTCAGCTGTTGCAATGAGTGGCTGGCGCTGTTGCGTAGCGCCCGGCAAGCCGATGCGCGTTGCACTGTGGCCAGCTCTTCACGCTCCAAGAGCACTGCCCGGGGTCGCCGTCCGCTCTCCGTCCCTCCTTCCTTCCCTCCCTCCTTCCCTCCTTCTCCCTTCTCCCTTCTCGTTCTCCTCCTCCCCAGACGCACTTCCAACGTCCCGATTCTCTCAATCCGCTGTCCCCCAGAGCTCCCGACCTCTTCCCCCAGGGCAGCTTCTCCTCCGCGGGCTGATTCTTGCTCGTGCTGACTCCGAAATCGGACCCTGGCGGCTCAAATCGAGAGCACCACGGCTGCCATTTTTTTGTTTTTCGGTCTCGCGACGGCTGGAATTCTGAGCTCCGCTCCGCCCGCTCGGGCCTGACCTCCCAGGGAGCGGCCTGGCCTGAACTTCGGGGCGGATCCAGCCGCACTGTGGCGGTCCAGGAGGCTTCAGGACGGCAAGACCCGTCGTCGCCGTCGTCGTCCCCAGACCTTGCGCTTCTAATCAGCACGTCGGTCTCGTTGGGCAGTTCCTGGGCCCAGAGGCCAGAAACTCACCGAGCTCGTTCCACTGCTCGCCAAGTGCCTACTCGCAAACGTCAGATAAAACAGATGTTTGCCTCGCTGTAGTGAATCGTAGATACCCCGCGGTGGATCCTGGCCATTTGCGAGTAGTTGCTTAGCGAGTGGTGGAACGCGCTTGTCTCGAAACGATCGGGCACGAAAAGGCCAGCCACGCGGAGGTGGGTCGGGAGTCCTTCGGCCCGCGCAGTGAAGATCCACCAGGCCAGATGTAGTCGTCGTCGCTGGAAAATGCCACCCTGCTATATCTCACCGAGCGCGTTCCGCTACTCGCAAAGTGCATACTCGCAAGCGTCCGAAACAAAACACATGACTTCCTATATGTAATGGATGGTAAATTCCCCGCGGCGAATCCAGGCCACTTGCGAGTAGTTACTTTGCGAGTAGTGGAACGCGCTTCTAACATCTCCCGTCGCGAAGACATGCGACATCGTGGAGCATCAGGACCAGACGCCTTCAATCCCCATCTCTCTTCGGCACTTCTCGGGCCGGGTCGATGCGAGAGGGCCTGGAGGGGCCATAAGCTGGGCGAGAGGGCGCCCGGTGTGAAAGCACATTGCGACGCCTGGATCTCAGGGACTACCTCTCTAGGCCTCCTAGATGGCGTCGGAGTAGATGAGGTCGGATGATCGCGCCGCATCGCCGATGCATTGGCGATGCATCGGTGATGCGGCTCGATGTGGGGCCTAATTTTCTCCACGCCAACGTCGCCTATGCATCGCCGACGCCGCCAGCGCATCGCCGATGCATCGCCGATTCGGCGAGATTTTTCGACCCCATCTACTCGGACTCCATCTAGGAGGCCTCTTAACCTCTGGGCTGGGCCGGTGTGCGGGCTCGAGGCTCCCTCCATTTTCCTGCCGCTTATTCGCCAGCAAATCATGGGGGCCTGGTGTACCCACTGAACTCCGTCTTTAGCGTCGACCAGCGTCGATTCGCGTCTGGAAATCGATGAACCGGCGCCAGTTTAGCGTCGGCGAGCGTCGATTTAGCGTCGATTAGCGTCGATTAGGGTCGATTAGGGTCGATTCGTAAGAGCCGACAAGATGGTACGGGAGGCTCCCGTGAGTTGCCACCGAACTCGAGGTCCCCTCCATTTTCCTACTGCTTCTCCTCGCTTTTTTTTCAAGCCGCAGGCCTGGGGCTCGAACACGGGCCTGAGGACCGAACGCCATTAAAGAGTGCCGCTTGAAAAACCACGTCGCCGCGGAGGTCCGCGGAGGTCCCCGGAACCCCGACCTCGCTTTTTTTTCACGACGTGGACCTCCAGAGGCTTCGATCCGTTCCCAGAGATCCAACGTATTGAAGAATCAAGACAGAGTTTTTTCGCAATTTTCGGCCTCTGGGGGCCCTCGCCAGGCCTCGGGACCGTCAAAGAACGACTCAGGACGCAAAACCAGTCCTGGGCAATGGGTCGAGACTTCCAGCGACCCCGTATTGAAAAAAACACGACTTCGGATCTGTGGGTTTCCTGACACCAGCTTTCATGCTGAGACGTTTTTCTACGATCCCAGGGCCCGCCGAGGTGCTGTGCCCAGAGGGCACATCGGCTGCAGATCTGCAGAGTGTCACGAGTATACGAGCACTGGCCTTCGGCACTCCAGCATCGTTTGGGATGGTGCAGAGATCTGCCCGCGCGTGCCCGACCCCGCTAAAGATGGGCAACAGCCCTCCGTCGTGATTTTTCACTCGGCGGCCAGTCCAGGGGGGAAATGAGAGGGGGCGCGCCTTTATAGAAGGCTCGGAAGTCCCCGGCCTTCTGAGACGTTTTCTAAGCCTTCCCCGAAGACACCAAAGACTTCTCAGAAGGCGCGAGGGCTTCTCAGAAGTCCCGCCGCCTGCTGAGAAGGCCTTCTCCTTCGCCCTTCCCCCCCGCGCTCGCCGCCGCTTCGGCCTTGGTACCGTGGTAGACAGACACATCTGCCCACTTGTGCCCGACCCCGCCAAAATTGGGCAAACACCCTCCGTCGCGATCCTTCCCAGGAAAGGAAAAACACACAGGCACAAGTATTCGTCGACTCCCAGGAAAAATAGATGTGGGAAGACATGGGACGTGGGGGCGAAGACGCAGACCCAGAAACTCTGGGGAAATATGTGGGTCATCCTGGGAGTTGCGCCTACTTGTTTGTGTGTCCCCGGCGCTGCCCCGCCGCGGCCCGGCCCCGCTCTGAGCGGGCCCGGCCTCCTCCCTCCCGCCCGCCCGCGCCGGGCCTTCCCCCTCCGCCCCCTTTGGCACCGCGGCTTCATTCGCGATCGTATGCCCCACATCTGCCCCATCCGCCCAGCGCAGTCACTGCCCGGCCGCCGACGCCAAAAGTCCCCGGGGAGCGGCCCGCCCGGTCGGCCCCCCGCGCGCGCCGGAGGGGAGCGCCTCCCCGAGGCCGCCGGCTGCGGTTCCGCGCTCGGGGCGGCCGAGCGCAGCAGCGCGAGCTCGGCGCAGCACGCCAGAGACGCAGGACACTCCTCGGCGGCGAGCGAGGGGCCGCTCGTCGAGCGACCCTCGAAGCTCGTGCCAGGACCGCGTTCAAGTCGGGCGTGTCCCTCTACAGGAGGAATATTCAAAAATAGTAAGACAACATAGTCTGGGGCGAATGTTTGAGCATTTTGTTGACTATTTTTGAGTATCCGTGAGGACTTCGCCCCCTGCCGCCGGCCCCCTCTCTATCATAATAGGATATCACAGAGTCGCGCCGGTGCGTCTCGGCGCTGCCTTGGTGCATCTGGGAACAGCATACAGGGGCGGATAGGAGCCATCAGCGCATATTGAATTGTTGGCGTTATCGAAGACGCCTACGGCGAATCATCGCCGCCCCCTGCTTGAGCTTGGCCAAGCTATCGGGCCACGCGTTCCCCGATTCGGTGCGGAAAGCTTTCGGGGAACACGGAGTCGGGCGAGCTATCGGACCAGGTGGTTTCCGAGCTTTCGGGCCTCATGGAGGACGTCTTGGAGGGTTCTTGGGCCGTCTTGGAGGTCTCTGGCGGGCCTTTGGGCAGTCTAAGGCCATTTTCGCCGTCTTGGAGACCTCCTTGGCCGTCTTGGGTGCATCTTGGGGCCATCTTCGCCGTCTTGGAGGCCTTCTTGGCCGTCTTGGAGGCATCTTGGAGACCATCTTGGCTGTCTTGGAGGCCATCTTGGGCGTTTTGGAAGCCTCTTGGGCCATCTTGGGGCATTCTTTGAGCCGTCTTGGGGGCGACTTTGCCGTCATGGGGACATCTTGCGGCCTTTTGACCGATCTTGGGGCGATCTTGGGGTCCTCTTGGGCCGTCTTGGATCGTCGGAAGGCCGAAAAGAAGCAAATGCGAAAAGCTTTCAAACACCTAAGCAAAATCATTGATTTTGGCTTCTGCGGGCCTTCCTGGAGGACGTCTTCGAGGCATCTTGGGCTGTCTTGGAGGCATGGGCGCCTCTTGGGCCACCTTCGGCTCTCTTGGGGGTATTTCTGCCGGCTTGGGTGCCATCTTGGTCGTCTTGGAGGTCATCTTGGCAGTCTTGAGGTATCTTGGAGACCATCTTGGCCGTTTTTGAAACCTCTTGGGCCGTCTTGGAGCCCTCTTGGGGCTGGCTTGAAGGTCTCTTGGGCCGTTCTGGAGCCATCTGGGAGGCCTCTGGGACTAGTTTGGGGACTCCTTGGGCCGTCTTAGGCGGTCGGAACACCAAAACCGAGGAAAAACAAACATCCTTCAAACACCTAAGGACAATTGAAGATTTTGGCTCCCTCGGGCCTTCCTGGAGCACCTCTTGGACTCCTCTGGGGCAATCTTGTAACCTCTCGGGCCAATCTTGGGCCATCTTGGCCGTCTTAGCGGCCACGTTGGCCGTCTTGAAGCTCATCTTGACCGTGTTTGAAGCATCTTGGAGGCCGTCTTGGCCGTCTTGGGGACCGTCTTGGGCGTCTTGGAAGCCTCTTGGGCCGTCTTTGGGTCCTCTTTGGGCCATCTTGGGGACCTTTTGGATCCTCCTGGGGCCATCTTGGAGGCTTCTTGGGCACTCTTGGGGCGATCTTGATGATCTCTTGGGCCGTCTTGGGCCGTCGGAAGGCCGAAAAGGAGCAAAAACCAAACTCCTTCAAACACCTAAGGAAAACAATTTTTTTGACCTCTTCGGAACGTCCTGGAGGAACTCTTCGAGGCCTCTTGGGCCGTCTTGGAGGCTTCTTGGAGGCCTCTTGCGCCGTCTTGAGCCATCTTAGGTGTTTCTTGTGCGAACTTGGAGGCATCTTGGACTCTCTTGGGCCGTCTTCGAGGCCATCTTGGACCGTCTTGGACGAACTTGGAGGCCATCTTGGGCCATTTTGACCATCTCGGAGGCCATCTCGGAGGCCATCTAGTAGCCGTCTGGATCCGAAAAACCCTTTGCAACCACCTGTTACGCATCTCCGGCGGGACGGGCCGAAACCCCAGGGGGAGTTTTTTGGAAAAAGACCAACTAAAAGCGAAAGGGTCTAGTACGCCGGGCACCCCTGTGATAAATCAACAAGGGGCGGCGGATCGAAGACACCTACGGCGAATCACCGCCGCCCCCTGCCTTTTTGGGAGCGCCTGCGTGGCCGAAAGTTGAGTTTGAGCTTGGCCAAGCTATCGGACCACGTGTTCCCCGAGTGGGTTTCGAAACCCTTCGGGGAACATGGAGTCGGGCGAGCTATCGGACCAGGTGGTTTCGGAGCTTTCGGGCCTTATGGAGGACGTCTTGGAGGCTTTCTTGGCTGTCTTGGAGGCATCGTGGAGGCCATCCTGGCCGTCTCGGAGGCCATCTTGGGCGTTTTGTGGGCCTCTTGGGCCGTCTTGGGGCCTCCTGGAGTCGTCTTGGAGGCACCTTGGCCTGTCATGGGGCCATCTTGGAGGCCTCTTGCGCGATCTTGGGTCGATCTTAGGGCCCTCTTGGACCGTCTTGGGCTGTCGGAAGGCCGAAAAGAAGCAAATGTCCAAATCTTTCAAAAACCATAGGAAAACCAACGATTTTGAACTCTGCGGGCCCTCTTGGGCCGTCTTGGAGGCATCTTGGACCCTCTTGGACCGTCTTGGAAGCCATCTTGGAACATGTTAGGCGGACTTGGATGCCATCGTTTGACATCTTGCCCGTCTTGGAGGTATCTTGGAATCCACTTGGGACCATCTTGGGCATGAAAGGCATTGACATGTGCAGTTTGCGATCTCTTCGGGTGGCTGGCGGGACGGGCCGAAGCCCCAGTGAGTTTTCTTAAAGAACCAAAGCCGTCTAGGATCTAGCACGGCAGGCACCCCTGTGATAGATCAACAGGGGGCGGCGGATCGAAGACGCCTACGGCGAATCACCGCCGCCCCCTGCCTTTTTGGAAGCGCCTATGTGGCCGAACGTTGAGGCCAGACCTGCCAAGCTATCGGACCATGTGTTCCCCGAATCGGTTTGGAAAAGCCTTCAGGGAACACGTGGGCATCTTGAAGGTCATCTTAGCCGTGTGGAGGCCATTTGGACCCTTTCGGGCCTTCTTGGAGGACGTCTTGGAGGGCTCTTGGGCCGTCTTGGAGGGCATCTTCAGCATCTTGGAGGCCTTTTGGGCCGTCTTGGGTTCCTCTTGGGGCCGTTTTGGGCCTCCTTGGCGATCTTTGGGGCACTTGGGCCGTCTCGGGCCGTCGGAAGGCCGAAACAGACAAATGCCTCAATCCTTTAAAAGTATAAGGAAAACGACTGATTTTTGCCTTTTCGGGCCTTCCTGGAGGACCTCTTGGAGGCATCTTGGGCCGTATTGGCGGCATCTTGGGCCATCTTGGTGGGCTCCTGGCCCGTCTGACGCCGTCGGAAGCCGTTTGGGGGGCCTCTCTGGGCCGACTTGGGGTCCTCTTGGAATGCTCCAGGGCCGTCTTGGAGGCCATCTTGGGCGTCTTCGAGGCCTCATGGGCCGTCTTGGGGGCTTTTTTGGGCCGTCTTGGGGGCCTCTTGGGCCGTTCTGGGGCCATCTTGGAGGCCTCTTGGGCGATCTTGGGGTGATCTTTGGGGGCTCTTGGGCCGACTCGGGCCGTCGGGCGGCCGACAAGAAGCCAAGTTCAGAATCTTCAAGAAGTCTATGGCAAATCGATGATTTTACCATCATCTGGCCTTCCTGGAGGCCCTCTTGGGGGCCTCTTGGGCCGTCTTGGGCCAGAGGGAGCCAACTTCGGCCATCATGCTGGGCTCCTGGCCCGTCCGCCGCCGTCGGAGGCCGTTCGGGGGGCCTCTCTGGGCCCTCTTGGGGGCCCTCTTGGGGTGCTCCAGGGCCGTCTTGGAGGCCATCTTGGGCGTCTTGGAGGCCTCTTGGGCCGTCTTGGGGCCCTCTTGGGGCCGTCTTGGGGGCTTCTTGGGCCGTCATGGGGCCATCTTGGAGGCCTCCTGGGCGATCTTGGGGCGATCTTGGCGGCCTCTTGGGCCGTCTTGAGCCGTCGGAGTGCCGAAAAGAAGCAAAAGCCAAAATCTTTCAAAAACCTAAAGAACAATCAACCATTTTGGCTTCTTCGGGCTTGGGCCGTCTTGGAGGCCTCCTGGGGGCCTCTTGGGCCGTCTTGAGCCATCTTGAGGCCATCTTAGACCGTCTTGGGTGCATCTTGGGCCGTCCTGGAGGCATCTTAGGGCCATCTTAGCCGTCTTCGAGGCCATCTTGTCCATCTTAGAGGCCATCTTGAGCCATCTTGAGCGAAGAAGCCGACGAGAAGGGCACCTTGGCGGGACGCGCCGGAGGCCCGGGGGGAGTTCTTTTGGGAAAAGAATTACAACCGAGAGGATCTGGCACGCCAGGCCCCCCTGCGATGAATCGACAGGGGGCGGCGGAACTAAGACGCCTACGGCGAATCACCGCCGCCCCTTGCCTTTTTGGAAGCGCCTATGTGGCCGAACGTTGAGGCCAGACCTGCCAAGCTATCGGACCACGTGTTCCCCGAATCAGTTTGGAAAGCCTTCGGGGAGCACGTGGGCATCTTGAAGGTCATCTTGGCCGTGTGGAGGCCATTTGGTCCCTTTCGGGCCTTCTTGGAGGTCGTCTTGGAGGGCTCTTGGAGGCCATCTTGAGCGTCTTGGAGGCCTTTTGGGCCGTCTTGGGGACCTCTCGGGGCCGTCGTGGGCCTCTTGGGTGATCTTTGGGGGCACTTGGTCCGTCTCGGGTCGTCGGAAGGCCGAAAAAAAAGCAAATGCCACAGCCCTTCAAAAACTCATGAAAAATCAATGATTGGGGCCTTTTCAGCCCTTACTGGAGGCCCTCTTGGAAGCCTCTTGAGCCGTCTTGGGCCATCTTAGGGCCACCTTCGGCCGTTTTGGTGGGCTCCTGGCCAGTCCGACGCCGTCGGAAGCCGTTTGGGGGGCCAGGGCCGTCTTGGAGGCCATCTTGGGCGTCTTAAAAGCCTCCTGGGCCGCCTTGTGGGCCGTCTTGGGGGCCTCTTGGGCCGTTCTGGGGCCATCTTGGAGAAGATCTTTGGGCGATATTTGAGGGCTCTTGGGCCGTATCGGGCCTTC